TGTACAGCGGAAACGGACGCTCACTTGGTACGGCTGCGATTATGCCTGACCTAGCCTAGCTCAATGATGAAAGGAACTGTAACCCTCTTTGCCAAGCGCGGCCGCAGGCCGAGGCAGCAGATCACAATTCTCTTCGCCGCCAGCGACGGAGATGGAAGGTACAGGAGCCGCTTGACTAACTGCCTTGACCCAGGTTTTGAGTTGACTCCTTCTTCGACACCTCCCCAAGGTGACAACGAAGAAGGTGTCTAAAGCGTCTCAGTCTTGTTGCAGTGTGGGCAGACTTCATATCATTTGAGACAAAGTCGATGTACTCCCCCCGAAGGATGGTGTTGACGACGACGACAAAATCAAAACTACCGGTAGCGAAAAAAGCAACGCAAGTGTACGCGCATTAAGAGAAATGTTCTACGCCCCCTGCAAGCATGCTCAACATGATAACCAGGGGAAACAGGTACAAACAGACTTCTCATTACTAACGACCGAGCACATGATGGGGATTCAAACCAACCATCAAGTATGCTAATTTTCGCGGCAGCCATGTGTGTGTGTCCGCAGCGTTGTGGACGCAGAACCAGGGCGCATAACGAGGCGGTTTATACCGAAATCAAAGCCAATCAAAACAAAAACGAATAAAAATCAGCCGTGAAGAAACTTACACTTCCGAGGAAGCCTTCTCTTCCTTTGCAGTTTCTGCGTCCGCCGCGGTCGAAGAGGGCTGTCCGTCGGGTTGTTCGGCGCTGCTTGATCCACTGGCCTCGTTTTTGTCTCCCTTCGACTTGAAACTGCTTAGAAGGGACTAGAGAGATGGGAGACAAAACCCCGTAAGCCCCTGGGGGGAAACGATCCAGCTACTTCCCACTGTTTCCAGCGGACTAAGACGCAGAGGACGTATGCTTTGATGCAACAGGAAAAAAGACGGCGAAAACGCTGCGCAAACTTCTCCGAGCCCTGGATTGTGAGCTACATTTGGAACTCACTTGAATTCTACAGTCTGCGTTTATCAACCGCTGGTCAAAACGCAGAACTGTGACCGCGCAACGCAAGCGAAAACGT